TGGTACAACATAAAATCATATCATTGTCCTATTTAAATTGCCGTGTAAGGGATGAAAAAATAGTTACACATCTTCTCGATCAAATAATAATGGATTTTATTATAAAATTGCATTTCATTTACAAAAAATATACACAGATTAGCCGAATGAATATTTAATTAATTAATTAATTAATTGTGCTCTAATAATAATAATAATAATAGTCAAAATTAAATGGTGATTTTAAAGTTTTCCTTGGAATTTAAGAACCGTCGGGACTTTATAATGATATGCAGAGATTTTTAGTTAGCCAAATGAATAAATACTATAATTGATCGAAATAATCAAAAATAACTTACTAATGATCGCTGCTAATATCAATAGAACAACTATGGTAAGAATTATAGTCATTTTTGCACTCTTCCACCACATTCTTCGTTGAGTTTGATGAGCGGTAGTGGAGAAAGCATGTGCATCTTCTACAAGCATAGCTGAATTTACAATTTAAAATTAGAGTATATAAGTATATAATGATAATCCATGATAAAAAGTAATGGCAATCTAATGATTACCAGTAGCTTCTTCGAGCTCTCCAAGTTTATGTTCACGCTCGGACAATTCTTTAAGTGTTTTGTTTAATTCGTTTGTGGTATTTTCTATTTGTTTTTTGATAATTTCAGTTTTCCCAGGCGCCGACCTCGGCCTTGGAGGCATTGGAGGCGGTTTTTCTAAAGACCTTGATTTATGTAAGAATAAAAGAAAGAAGAAACTAATGGTGAGGATAAATAATCATAGTCTCGATTACATTTTTTTTCTCTATTTCGTTCTTTGTTATTATTATTCATCTATATATAAAAAACCTACATTGTTCTTATAGTTATTAATAAAAGTCAAAAATAATAATAATAATAATTAATTAATGAGCAAATTCTTCAGCGTATCTTAAAAGTTTACTTTTTTTAATGTTAAGAGAATCGGATAAAACAAAAGGAGAGTAAGAATGAGGCTGTCATTATTTGACTGTTGTTTTTTTTTTACTAACAGCAGACCAAGCCACACAGCCATGGAGCTTACTTGTAAATCTGTAATTACATAAATTGCTTGCGCCAGCTTTTATTTCTTATTAAAGGGATAAAAATGGTTCCGTGCCAGGACAAAATATTTCTGATAATTTTCAGGATTAGAAAATTTGAAAAAAAATTGTATGTGTGAGTTGCTTATAGCCTCACTTATCAAAAGTTTCGGTTTTTAACATTGTTCCAGACAAACTGACAACCGAAGACACTAAATCCCGGATATTTCCGTTTAAATAGCAAAATAAATAAAGAGGAAGTTTATTTAATTTAATTATAAATAAATAACCGTCCAGCAATCTTTTCATCAAGCACAGGTTCATCAATCGACACTCCCTTGAAAAATTTCTCCTCGTCTTTTCCGATTTCCAAATCGGCATTTGAGAATTCTCGCGCGTTGCCCAGCGCAACTTTGACGGTTTCTTCGCCAGCAAGTTCAAAATTTTTGTGAGAATTAAATGCGTGATATATTCGTAATGGTATATTCATCCATCCGATGCGATTGTAAAAGTGTATGTAACCAATTCGTTCATATTTTTCTGGGATGGAGAAATTGGATGAAGAAGGTGAAGAGGAAGAGGACGATGTCTTTAAAAGCGACTTTGAGTCATTCTTTTTTTGTACATCTTCAGAATCATTTTCATTATAATTATCAGCATCAGTATTGTCAAGTGACGTATTATATCCATCATTCAAGCCTTGAAGATATTCTACATAACTGGTGCGTCCAATAACAATTACGTCACCTCCTTCTCCGCCGCCATTATTTTCCTGTACTTCATCAGTACTTATTGACGATGAAGATGATGTGACTTTGGAATCTGATAATGATAAAGATGTTGCCGTTTCTGATGTAGCTGTTGCTTCTGCTGCTTTCAATTTTCGCTGTTTTATTATAGAGTCGCGTACTAATGATCTTAGTTGACCTGGTCTCGTTCCTTCGACCACATCATAATCCAAAGCAGCCGCAATCAATACTGGCTAATCATCACATTTTCATTCATTGATTCGAAAGATTAATATATATATATATGTTGTTGAGCGTAAATTCTTTAAAACATAAACAACCATATTTTCATAAAACTCAACAAACATCAATCTAAGTCAATAAAAAATTTTGCAAGCATCTTTATAATATCAAAAATTACCTTGACATATTCACGAAAATGTATTCTCGTCTTATGTATTCCATCCCCACCAGGCGGTGCCAGATACACAGTCACTTTACGTGGTAACTCGTTTACAGCTAATGGCTGTCTTGCTATATGTGCAACTTTATCTTGAACTCGAGTTTTACCACAGCTCGATAAATAGTTATCACGATATAAAAGTACTCCTATTACTGTACATACTCCAATAAAAGCGGAAAATTTCTTTGAAGGGAGTTTGAAGAAACGCGTGTTGTTTTTGGCGACTGTAGACATTTATTTTGAAAAATGTTTGATTATGCATCGTAAAAATTAGTCATAATTTTAACGACATCGATATGGTGCACC